CAAGAGGTCGTTCCTCCAATTTCTTAGCCACCTCCGCTATCTGTTCAGTTTTCCTTTCATCAATTCTTCATTCCTTCCGAAACAACAGCCTGCAAATGTAGGAGAAATTCCTGGTGGAGATACGAGCAAAGATGAGGCTTCCATAGAAAAAGATGATGATGGGGCCCAGGATCCAGAAGATATTGATAAAAGGAAAACTGAACAGATAGCGGAGGTGGCTAAGAAATTGGAGGAACGACCTCTTGCCAAAGCTCAAGAGCAACTAGAGGAGCGCCAAAACCCTCATACAGACACAGAAAGACAAGATAGCACAGTGCAAAGAAAGGCCCCCAATGAGGCGCCTATTATAGATGTGAAACCAGTTCTTAATGAGGATGACCGAGAGTTGGATCGAGTCGAAGCCCTTTTATGTGAAACGCATAGAAGATTCTATGAGAGGTATGATGCACATCTTCAGGGACACTTTCCATTACTTCCCGATGTTTCGGTTAGTGAATTTGCTCTGCATTGGCTATTCTAACCGTTACACAGCTCATCGTGCCGGAAATAAAGGCTGAAACATTTAAGGGGTGCCACATTGTGTTTTCGGGCATCATACCACTCCAAACACGACCAGAAGAGTTAGTGTAATGGATATATTCATACCTAAAGGTTGTCTAACGTGTGTGAAAGCTCCGGTGTGTGGAAAACAGCAACTTCTTTCGGTGCGACATGTCATCGAGATCTTAATCCTCAGGTCACCCATCTTGTCGTTGCAAAGGTTAGTAGTCAGTGTTCAGCACGCTTCACTGCTGACTTCCTTAGCCGGGTACTGCTAAAGCGGAGATGGCGCTTAAAAGGGGTAATATCTTTGTCGTCGAAATGAAGTGGTTCGACAACTCAATAATCAGATGGCGAAGGCAACCTGAGAAGGATTACCTGATCGATCGAAAGCGGGGTACCCCTCGTTCCATAACTCCAGAAATCATGGGCCGTTCAGAAGGAAAATTTTCAGAGAGTTCAAATACCCTACAACAAACATTACAGCCATCAGATGTTACAGATCAGGTCAGTGCTCTTGAAGGAGCTGGTGGAGACGGCACCAACGGAAAATCCAGCCATTCCAAAGACTCTCAGGAAAAGGTCAATCAGGGCGATGGTGCCGACTCACTAGCTGGAGAGGAAGAGGCAGGAGAAGTGGAAGCAATGGAGCTCAATATTGATTGGGCCCAAATTGATAAGGAGCTGGAAGATGAGTTGGGCAGCGACATCGATGAAGAAAGTGAAACTGGTTCCCATGCAGGAGTGCTCACGGACGATGGAACTCCTGAGTAGGTCTGTAATAATTTCATCATTTCAAGGCTGATAAATGTTACAGCGATATGGAGGACGTCAAGAGCACCTCTCGGGGGATCAAGAGGCGGCGAAGTCAAACATCCACTCCCACTACGCCATCAAAACTGCGCCTGTCCACAACCATACCATATAAAGAAGGGACACCTTCTCCGCCTAATTCTAAAAAGAAGAGAGTAGAAGAAATTGTAAAGGAAAAACCTAATACAGATGGAGCTGGGAGGAAAGATGAACAGTCAACAGAGTCAGGCCCTAGCCAGGATGACGCATCAATCAGTAATACTCAAGGCCCAAATGACACTGAAGAAGATGACGATGACGACGATTTTCTAGCTAGAGAAATGGCCGAGGGTGGTGAAACGGACGAGTGGGACTCATCTGATGATGCCTGATTCCCAAACGCTCCAATCCGAACATTATTCAATATGTAGAGCGAAGTCAAACACGATGTAGCCATACGTTTTAATTGGGCATAACCTCTGTTCAAAATGTATACAAATCTAGGGTGTCCCTCGATTATCTGTGTGTTCACGATACAAGGATGAAAAACGAGGCTTTATTCCATTCTCCATCTTTGTGGTTCAAATTCAAAGCCTTCTGGGCCACCTCCACCTCCTCGACCTGCAGTCTTACTTACAACGGCGGCATGAATACTTTCGAGAGTACCTGCCCACTGATCAAGGGCCTGATAGCGACGCTTTTCTAATATTTGGCTATACGAGGAGATCATGTAAGACAATATATGGGGCACCTGGTTGAAAACTTACTGGCGGTCCAACTCGAGTCTTTGGGCAACTTGATCAATCCTGCCTTCAACTTTTCCTTCGAGAATAAGACCGATCAGTATCTCTTCAACCTCCGGCTTGTCGATATTTAGTTGCTATCAAGATATTAATTGTGTTTATGTAATTTAGGTCTCATAAGACATACCCTGGCTAAGAAACTGAGGTCAAGACGAGTATACGGCTTAATTAAGGCTATGAGGTATTGGGTTCGTAAGGCTCGGAGCAAATCACCAATATAAGACTTGATAAAAGGATCGTCCATGAATGTTGACTGGTTCTCTCTGAGGATTTTCTCGGCTTCGTGAACCTCTCGCCTCTGGTAAGCCCCCACTAGGTCGGTAACCGCTTTGATGTCCGGGTTATTTTTGTACGGCTTTGTCTCTTGTGAGTCGAACGGATCGATTTCGCTCCCCATAAGAAGGTAAGCCAACACCAAGTATTTGAGAACCTGTATCCGTTGAGGTGAACCAGCCTCATCATAATTGTGGAAAGAGCTAAAGAAGTCTTCGGAAGCCTTTTCCCATTGTTCTATACATATGCTTAGTGAATAGATGGGCACGTAGCGAGATAATACTGACTTTCTCTCATCCACATTTTGCCACCGCATTCTTTGATTACTCCTACTACTCGAGGATGAGAAATGGCAGAGGTGACTTGGCCAGATGCATAGTAAATCTCCTTAAGCTTCTTGTAGTTCTTGGTCTCGTTGTACATTTGAATCTCCAGTGCATAGATTTCTTGCAACAGTGTCCCTTTAGCGGCCTGGTCTTCGTCTCCTCCTTGCTGTGTAGATACTTGAAGGTCAGCGAGAAGCTAGAACATGTTAGACAGGATAATTCTATTGAATTATAGGTCGTACTCGTTTCAGCCGATCATATTCGCCTCTATCCAGCCAGAGCTTCGCGAGTTTGAGGTTTGTTTTTACCGATAATCGCTATGACCAAGACTGTGAGAGTAGTGTCCAAGTAATATGCCTAAACATTACATCATTCTTTGCCTCTTTTAGTGCATTTCTTGTAGCTTCGTAGAAACGCTCGAGGACATCTGCATCAGCGCCGCTTTTCGCACCGCCAACATAATCCAAGACGCTGTTGATCGTCTTCTCTGAGTAATTGCGCGTAACCGCCGATTTCGTGTACGTTAGAAGTTGTTTGTAAGTTTGGAGGGCCTCTGCTGGTCTGTGTAAGACAAGGAAGAGGAGCTTGGTTTGTTGCTTAAGCGCCTTGAATCCCCTTGTGGCAAACGAAGTTAACGGGTCTGAGACACAGGATAGAGCGATAATATTTACCAATCACCCTTTTCAGGTTCTGCCTCTACGATTGCCTTAAAATCCTTCAACGCGGCTTCTGGGTTGTCCCCCTTCTTGCCTGGTG